ATGATCTTAGCAAAGAAAATACTCAATCAAATTTAGGTATATTAAGCTAAAACTGAATATAATAACAGAGCTATTCCTGACAAATATTTCAAGAACTAACAGATCGCACAAGCTCTGTCAATTTTACATTAGAAGCACATAACGTCATTTTCAACGTATGGCCCAAACGGCTGAACTGCCATCATTTTTCAACATAAAACAATTTCTGAGTTTAAACARTTGGCTTAAAGGCAGCAAGTAATATACATTTATTCTAGGCCTTTATAGTTAGGATTATTTATAGTGAGGATAACTAAATGAATCACTTTATTATTTCAGACAAATGATGAATTCATCTTTTTTATGAATAAAGTTGTACATGTGCTCTTTTGCATTCGAGCTGAAAATGTGACTGCTTGAATGATCTGTTATTGTCTGTCTTTTGTTTCCTTCAGCTCTAAACATTATAGGGTCTTTTCATTCATTGTTGTCATTTAGTGTGCCAAATGAATAAAAACGGAAGGAAAAAAATAGCGTGTACGAGATTTTAGTCTTTTAAGCTCTTTGCAACAAAACCAGATGAGAAATTTTCTTTCTTTAGACGGTTAACCACAAATTACTTGTGAAGGGATAATGGGAACAGTTAAGACTTTTGATTTTGTTGATCAAAAATAGAAACGCTCACCCACTAAATAAGGAAAATTAGTGGTTGTACGTGGCATGTTACCACTGTTTTGGAAAACATGTGTGTGAGGGAAGGTAAGTGTTAACTCTACATTTCCATTTAAAATGCACTCTTCTCTGAAAACTGCAGCAGTTGTTTGCACTACTCACCCAGATGAGAGATATTTGTGAAATTCAGCTGTTGCATGGTCTAAACTCAACCCCCACCAACCTCATCTGAGATGGACTGATGCAAAGTGGAAACTCAAAATCGAACAACAGAGACTCTGGACTTTTGTGCAACTGAAGTTGTACATCAAGCAAGAATGGGAAAGAATTCCACCAAGAAAGCTTCAACAATTAGTGTTCTCATTTGCTACACACTTGAGTGTTGTTAAAAAGAAAGGTGATGTAACACAGTGGTAAATATCCTGATGCATCTCAGTAATCCAGGAAAAAAATCAAAAAGAAAAAAATTGTGTACGTCTTCTGGACGGGTTC